CAATATAGATGACAAGCCCTGGACAAGGAATCTTGATTGTTTTGGGTTTTGTTTTTTGGAGGAGGGCCGTTTCTTTGTTTTATGAGGTTGGGTCGCCCTACATTGCGCTTAAAGCTCGGCTGTTTTAGGATCTTTTCATAAGTCAGCTCAGCACTCATGCTGGTTGTTTGTTTCCTTTTCTTTTCTCCTTTCTTTTCTCCCAGCCTCTGGCTGCTTTCTTTTCTGTTCCCTGCCTTTGAGGAGATTGAGTGTGTTCTTGCTCACAGGCAGTCCCAGTGCTCCAGTGCATTCCTCAGACATGAGACTTCTCTCTCCCCTGCAAATGTTAGCCTCCTTCCCCAAAATGAAATCTAATCCTTAAAAAGAAAACATTCATTTATAAAACTTGTTATTTAAGAATAACATGAGTTGTAGACAAATGTAGCTATAACACAAAAGATAGGTGGATGCTAAAGTGATATGTGCTTTAAGATTGATTCCTACATTGATAGTTAGTTGCTAGAGGAAACATATTTTCAGTGCTTAATTCTGTGGTTGCTAACCAGATTATCATGGCACCATTGTTAAGGATTTCGGCTTAGACATGAAAATAGTCTATCTGTATAGAACAAGACATTATTGTGGTATTTATTAAGATGGAATTCTTTGTAATCTAATTTTTTAGTAAAGGTATTACTCATTTGCTCAAATATTTGAGTTGCTATTATGTGAAAAACAGTTTATTTACCAGTGAATAGAAGGAAGACAGTGGCTAAAATTTATAGCTTCCCAAGTCTCTTTCCAAATCTGCGAGTAGTTCAGGGTGATAGTTCGGCATTTTTCATTTTGTTAGGTCTTGAACAATGCTTATTCTTTAAAATATTTGAGGGATGTGTATATTCCTCTTTCTTTAAAACATGAATTTTATGTTTCCAAAATAATCTAAGTTTAAAATCAAGCATCTAGTGTAATATACAAAGTGTAGTAATGAAAATCTTTCGGTAATTTGGGTAAGGGTGATTATGAATCATGGGTATAGCCTGATGACTTCTTCAGTGTTGTAAAGGAGAATGGGCGCCCTCCCCCCAAGCCCCCTCCTGTACGCGGGTGTGTGTGTGTGTGTGTGTGTGTGTGTGTGTGTGTGTGTGCGCGCGCGCGCGCACACGCGCACTTAGATTAGGTTATAGGCAGACTGATGACTTGTCAAGAAGAAATTACTTATTTTGAACTAAGTGCCATGACATTTCAGTTAAAGAGAGTTTTCTGTTATATGGCCCGTTGTATGTTACATGGGATCACATAGAATGGTGATCAAATTTCTCTTCATTTTTGCTCACTCTGAGGAGAAAATAAGATTGGACAGTGTGCAGTGGCAAGCAGAGACTCCACACTGAGACCAGGATGTGGAGGCACACGTAGGTTATCTCCTCATAGCTTTGAGACATTTCAGCTTGGAGGAATCGTTTCCACCTTATCTTTTTGCCTCACTTAGAAGTCTAAGAAGACTTGCTCCAGTTGCCCTCAAAGGCATACTTTGGGGTTAATCTTTATTTCATATGAGCAGGCAGTTATGTGTCTCAGTACTACCTACCATCCTCAGCGCTGCAGTTCATTGCTTACAAGTATTTATTTTATATTTGTCTAGCACCGCAGTAGGCGTTTACTGCTGTATCCCCTGCTTCTGGACTGATTGTCAGGAGGAAGCCCCTTTCAGGGTCAGGTCTTGGCGCACCTACAGGCTGAAGCAAATAAAGCTGGAGAAGTAAAGGGGATCTAGATCTCCTGGGGCCCTGCACGCATTCGAAGGAACTTGTGCCGCATCCCCCAAAAAGTAAGAGGATCATGAGCGGATCCTATGTTCAAATCCAGCGTTGGGTGACCATCTCCCTTTACTTCATGCTGTCTCCATTTTAAAGAATTAAAGGCACCCTCATAGAAAGTATATGTGACACTTGGAAAGCAAAGTAACATTGTACATGTATGTGGTTACATTTCCAGTAAATTCCTAAAGACATTTCCAGAATATCTTTTTATACCTTGTGAAATAATCGTTTGTGTACTTAAAAGATGAATATGAATGTGTAAGTAATTGGAAAAATTAATAATAAGACATTTACAACTTTTTACAGCAGCAAGTTTATTGAATATGGAGATCACAGTAAAAATATAAATTTTGAATTTTTAAAATATTGGCAGATACCTAGTATCTTCTCAATGCTTTGCTGTTATATGCCTAAAATAAGCGGATTAGAGAATTACTTTCACCTGTATTTAGTAAGAATGTTATAAAAACAAATATCTTTTTAAGTTATTTTTTTTGAAGGAAAATCAGTTCATATTCCATTGAGTCAAAGAAGGTAAAGTGCCAAACAGTCAGTATATAATATTGAAAATGTTTGTTTTTGCCTTTTAGTCATACTGAGGGATTTGCACCAAGACCTTGCACAAGCTAGGCAAGCACCACCACCTAAAGCTACCTGCCTCCTCCCTCAGGAATTACAAGCAGACACTACCATGCCTGGCAAATTTGTATTATAGATGCTTATATAAGCATCTATAGAAAACGTACAGAACTGCAAGTTGCATTAATGTTTTGTTTTGTCTTGTTTTACTTTTTAAGACAGACTCGCTAAGTATTTCAGGCTGGTTTGAGCTCACTGTGAAGCCCACACTGGCCTTGAACTCTCTCTGATCCTCTGTCTCAGTGTCCCAAGTGCTGGGATTACAGATGAGCACCACACACCCAGCCCCGCATTGATTCTGACCTCTCCCAAACAGCTTTCCTGTTGGCTCCACCTTTAAAACAGTACCTTGTTTTCTGGATTCATAAGTAGGCAGTTTTCTGATATCTCAGTTTCTGTGCTGTAATTATTGTATCCCACTTCTTCCTTTTAGGCATATTTATCTTCTTACTAAAATAAATCCTGGAATAATTCAGGGAGAATCTGAATAATAAATTTTTCTGTCCAGAAATACTTTCACCCTTATTATTATTCCTTAATTTTAAATTAAGCTTATTTAGGCAGGCAGTTTTACACTATTGTATTCTGATACCCTGCTGATGAAAAATACACAAGTACAATAGTATTTCATGTGTCTTTAAAAATAGTGACTTTAGAAAGCTACACCTTTTTAACTTTTATTGTGTTGAAATACCAAATGAGTTCATCTAATTTTTAAAGTAAAAAGTAGATAATTGTGTGTTGTGTTAGATTTGGTACAAAACAAAATATCCTAAGATCACTACTTAAACATATGTATACTTGTCAAGTATTATATTTTATAGTTGCTATACGTGTCATGTTTATTTTATGGCTCTTTTTCAGGGTCAGTAATTTAAATTATATTTTAATTTGGAGTTCCACAATGGTTCTAGACCAGTGCGGTCCAATGAAAGTTCTGCACTGATGGAAATGTTCTTGTTCACATCTGTACCATCCAGTAAGGTGGTCATTAGTCACTGGACCAGTGATGGCAAACCTATGGCACATGTGCTATTATGTCTTTCTTTCAAGACAAAAGATGCTAATGTATGAGTTGTTTTCTTGAACTAAGACCTCAATACTGAGGTTTAATTGCAGTATTGGAGCTTTGGATAAGGAAATAGGTTTGGGGTTGCAGGTTGACACTTGATCTCTAGAAGGTTCACCATCCTGTGCTAGACCTTGAGTGCTGATGCTGTCTTTGTTTACATTTGTATCTTATCAAGTGAGTAGACATTTTGAATTAATAGCTTGATTAGTCTTAGACCACATAGTTTAGGATAATTCTTTTTGTTTCTTTTTCTTTCTTTCTTTTTTTTAAATCTTTTTGAGACAGGGCCTCTCTGTGCAGTTGAGGCAGGCCTTGAGCTCACTTTGTAGCCCAGTGTGGTCTCAAACCCACAACGATCCTCCTGCCTAAGCTTCCCAAGTACTGGGCTTATAGGCATGAGCCACCACGCCCGACAAGATAATTCATTTTTACCTGCAGATTTTTTTTTCAGAAATGTATATGTCTTTTGCCTATACAGTGTAGACTTAGAAGTGAAGTTGTGGTGTTTGTATGTTTAGCTTATAGTGCCAATTTTTGCATATATTCAATGTGTTTTGAAGTATTGTTACCAGTTGGGTAAGGTTCTTTTGCTCAATTTAGATAAAATGTAAGAATCTATGATACATAGGCAGAGTTCTGAGCCTTGAGTGTCTGGGGCTCTCTGATCCTGACGTCAGGAGCTCCTTGCATTGCTCCCTTAGCAGCCAGAGCCAGTAGCTACCAGGAATCTCTGTACTCTTCCAGAACCGAGAGCCACCAGCTTTCAGCAGCTCTGCATAGCTCCGTGTCACTCTCATGCTGCTGCCTACCACTGTTTTGCCAGCCCCAGCTACTGAACTCCTAATATAACCACCTTAGCTTATTCTTCTTAATATAAAAATCACTAATCTGCAAAGTAAAGCTACGTGAGAGAGGTTGTATTGTGACTTAACGTTGCAGCATAAGGGGAAGCAGTATATAAAGTGATCTAAAATGGGTAAAGAGAGGCTACTTAAGTAGTTTTTTTCTTTTTTGTTTTTAAAGAAATATTGTTTTTAAAGAAATAAGAAAAATGTACACAGTGTCCTCAGCCTACCAAACTGTCTGGAAGGAAATGGCTTTCAGTCTTTCAGTAAAGGAAGAGTTCCTCACTGACTAGGGTGGGGATATCTGACTTCAGAGTGGTCAGAGTCTGGAACAGACCTGCAACAGAACCTTGCTGCTGCCAAACCGAATTTCTCAGGACAGTCGATGGGCATCTGGTGTTCTTTCAGGGAGCATCAATATATTTAGGGTGGCCAGGACCACCAAAGATGGAAGAAAGAAAAAATAAGTACTTGTTGGAGGCTTGGGGTCCTTCTGTCTCAGTAGTTTGTTAAAGCTTTATAATACTTTGAGGTTTCCCGTTTATATATTAACTGATGCTTATTAAAGAGTTACAGAAATAACCCTTCAAGTTTAGCTCTGCTCAGCAAGTAAGTGTATTAATAATATCTTCTGTTTTTCAGATTGCAAATTGAAGAATCTTCCAAACCTGTAAGGCTGTCACAACAACTGGACAAAGTTGTAACAACCAATTACAAACCTGTTGCTAATCATCAATACAATGTAAGTCTTGTGCATATCTCTCTTTATTCAGAGTTATATTTTTATTCCTTTCTCTATCATAGATTCTTACATTTTGAAAGGACTTCATCAGCCTTATACCTTGCATCTGGTGCGTGAGTACCTGACCTAGATTTAGTAAGAATATGATATATCAAACATAGAGAACATGCTCACTCTACATTGTAAGCTGTACAGTAAGAAGCCAACCAGTGTTCAAACTACTCTTGATCTATTTTTACAAAGAAATGAAACACTTCAATTCTGTGTTTCTAATATTTTAAATTATAATATACTAAGCAATCACTTTTTACCGTTTTTTATTTTTCAGTACCATTAAGCTGACCATAAGAATGTGTAATATATTGACAACTTTTATAGGTCATGCACTAAAAATATACGGTTATTATTTAACATTTTTAAGGATCATGGAACAGTTCTAATGTTTTCATTGATAAGTAAGATCACTTTGCCTGGTTTCAGCTCCCACAAGCATTTATTATAACGCCTTAATACTATGCAAAGTGAAGACTGCCTCATACATTTTTTAGAGCTTTATATTGAAGCATATTTTACATATGATATGCACATACATTGTCTCCTTATTAGTGTGTTGCCTTAGTTTCTTGTCATTGGGCGCAGTACCACAATGTCAAGGAGAAAAGGTATATTTTGGCTTGCAGATGCAGCCCCTGGTCAGCTGGTTCCTTGGCTGAAACAGGATGGCAGAGGGGCATAGAGGAGGAGGAGCTTTCACATCATGGTGGCCAGGAAGCAGAAAGAAAGGGGAAACCAGGAAGGAAGATATGCCCTTCCAGATCACACTCTCGTGAGTGGCCTCCAAACAGGCCCTACCTCCTCACAGCAAATGCCACCCCCGTAATCCAGTCACCTTCCAGAAGCCCTACCTATGAGTGCATGAGTATTTTTCGGGGGGTCATTTTTGATCTGCAGCTAGCATATATTCTTGTACATTATATGCCAGCTACTCTTGTGAGTGCTTCATAGATAGTAACATGTCATCCTATGAGATAATGCTGTCATTTCCAGTTTACACATCAGTCTAGAGGTTAGATTACCTGAAACACGAACTCATCTAGTTAGTAACTAACTGGTCCAAATACTCAACCCAGGCAAGTCTGGCTTAGAAGCCACACTTTTAACCACTGTGTATGTTTCCATAGGATACTTAGCGGTACTAAAAAGTGAAGAGTTTTTAGGTTTTAAAATACCTAAATGGAAGAATAAATGTAATAATTTCCTAAATATAAAATGAACATTAGGGGTAGGGGATTTAGCTCAGCGGCATAAGCGCCTGTCTGGCAAGCACATAAGGTTGTGAGTCCAATCCCCGGTAGCAAAACAACAACAACAACAACAACAAAAAAAAAAAAATATATATATATATATATATATAACATTAAGTCAAACAGCAACTAACAGTTGAAGTCCCATGTCCTACTTTGTTGCTTAAGAATTACTTTGATACTGAGTTCAGCAAGAATTAAAACATCTTGAAAACTGGTATTAAGTATCTCGACTTACTAAGAGGCACGGAACGGTATCTGCCAAACCACCATGGTATGGTATTTGAATATCTTATGGTTATTTTGTGTGAGAGCCAGCAGGTACCGCCAGAACTAACTGGAGACTGTGAGAAGTGGAATACATCTGCCACTTCTAAAGACATTCAAAGCCGGGCGTGGTGGCTCACGTGTGTAATCCCAGCACTCCGGAGGCTGAGGCAGGAGGATCGTTGTGGGTTCCAGACCAGCCTGGGCTACAAAGTGAGCTCAAGGCCAGCCTGAACTGCAAAGGGAGACCCTATCTCAAAAAAAAAAAAAAGAAGACATTCAAGCTGAAAATTTTTTTAAAAAATTATAGGTAGATAGATATGAATGTTAGTAGTAATGACAGCTTCTTATATTGATTGCCTATGATTTCTCTTCTCTCAGCCACAAATGCAACCTGCTTTGTGCCTGAGGTACAGACTCCTGGTGAACCAAACCAATAAAATGTCTTCAGGAAGCTACCTTTTCCTTCAGTTACGTTTATGCCTCTTTAGATCCCCAGATAGGATACAATGTGTATTTCCTTTGAAGTGGTTCATATGCATTTTTATACTACAGGTTACTTGCTGCTGTAGACCATCATTTCTGAGGCAGAAGGCAAGCCTCTCCCAGGTAGATCGGTGCTGGCACTTTGGTAGCTTCATAGCCAGACCTCGACCTGAGTTGTATTCTCAGTGCCATTGACCCTGTCCTGTTATCGAGGCCAAATATCATACATTTAGCATATTTTTACATTGCTTTCTTTTTTACTGCTAAACTACGGTAATACTGTGATTCACAGTACTTCTGTTGGCAAACAATTCAGTTCTCAAGCAAAAGTATTTTGACAAAATTTTGCTTCCGCTCACGAACTCCACCTTAGATAACAAACACAAGTGTGGCCATCTTCCCCCACAATCACAAACGCAGTCATCTTCTCACAATTGTAAAACTAAGTTCGTGAACCAAGGTACCACTGTGTATTCAAATACATTGTATCCTGAACTTTTTAGGTTATAAAGCTGTAACATCCATTTTAATTCTTCTTTACATTAAGTTATATTTCAGTTAAGGAATGTTAAAATTATCATAAATGAGTCATAACAGTAATGAGTTATGTAATCTTTGGTTAAGATTTTGTTTACATACAACAAAGATTGCTATCATCTTATGTTGCACTTGAGTGTTTAATGATTGTTTTCTGTGGGAGTTTATCAGAATGAGTTGGGGGGGCATCAGCATGGATTTAAAAATCATATTTAGTATTAGAGTATATCATCAACTGTAAAATTATAAAGCTTTTGTTATTTATCAGAAGGGAACATTGATTTTTTTTTAATATTGAGAGACTTCAGTATTGTTTGGTGACAATGATTTGACATTATATAATTAAGATCCAATAAAAATTTTAAAATTCACTATAATGTTAATGTTTTCAAAGTTTTGTAAGCAAGCACTACATAAACATGAAGTTCAGGATTTGATTTTAATAGTTGGGGTCCTTCAAATGAAATTTTCAGATAAAATTAAGGGGAAATTTATATAAAAATGAGAGTAAAGGATTGCATATAGACTTTTGAAGGGGACAAAGTTGGGATTTTAATCTAGTACTTCATATATGCTAGTACCCCATCAGTGAGCCATACTCTGATCCTGTCCACACATTTAATTAGAAAAAAACATCTTTCAGGGCTGGGGATTTAGCTCAGTGGCATAAGTGCCTGCCTGGCAGGTGCAAGGTCATGAGTTCTATCCTCAGTGCCAAAAAAATCACTTTTCATGTACCTCCGCAAATTTTTTTATATAGACAGAATATCCAAATATTTAAACCCCTTAAAACTTTACTCTGTACTTGAAGCTTTTCTAAGAAATTTATCTCTATACATAATTCACAAACTAGGGTGTATTACCCACCGCACTGGCCATTCAGAAGGCACTCATTGGACAAACAGTATTATATGATCATCATTATCTTTTAGAATATCTTTTCCTTGAGAGCTCTCCCCTGAAAACTCTCCTCTTGCTAGACTAATGCCTGTTAGCTTTCTCCCTAAGTGGCATTTCTTCTGTCTTCATTAAGATTCTGAAGGACCAGTTTATGTAGGTCAGCATTTTCCAGGGTAAGTTTTGTGAAACACGAATTTGTAAGAGCTTCCTTGAGGACCCGGGACTCTTTAGCGTTGGGAATGTTGCTCAATAGTGGAGCTTTTGCCTAGCATGTGCAAAACCTGGACTTAATCTCCAGCACTGTTTAAAAAAAAAAAGCAAAGGCCTCAAATTCCTCTTTCCTTATCCTTTGAAGTAGTAAAAACAAACTTTAGGAAATAATAGCATCCTCAAAATTAAGGTTTGTAAGAGGTTTCATTGGGTAAAGGGGAAAACATTAGAACTTAAATTTATCTTGTTTTTTACCTAATAAAAGGAAAAAGTTTTTAAAAATATTTGCCATGTAGATTGACCCAGCACCCTTATGCAGTCCCTATATTAGTTGTTTTTTAGAAAAAGAGTGAAATTATGCAACATGAAGGAATTGATCACGGCTTCTCATTTTCATTTGTTTTCAGAGTTTTAGATTTGTTGCTAAATTCAGAGATTTACATAGTACCTAGTATTAATTAAACTCAGTGTTAACAAATTAACAAACGACTTAAAAAGCTTTCCCATAAAGAAATCGTAGTTTATAAATAATACTAATAAAGCAAATATATGTGAACCAGAAAATAGGAAAGTGGGTCCTTCTCTTGCTTCTAAGGTGATCTTTCTATGTGAAGTAGAGACAGTGATAAAGGAATCGGATCTGACAAGAACTTAGCTCTTCCGAAACAAAAATTATCAGTATCACTTTAAATATGGCTTGTCATTCACTGTATTTGATGATGACTCCTCTGTGTCTTATCTTAGAAGCAGAAGCAACTCTAGCTATTTCAAGTAGAAAGAGATGTAGAAGGAATTGGTCACAAATGGTTTATGAACACAAAATGAAAAGGCTGGAGTTGCAAAACCAGAAAGCTGCAGCTTGGGACGTGCCCAGCCAGTGCCGAACCTTCCTCCTGCTTCCATCCTCCCCTTGGCAGGACTCCAGCTGGGCCCCAGCTGATCTGGGGATCTTGGAGATGTAGTCTGACAGTGCTGCTGCCCAGTGACCAAGGCCTGGGCCTGGGGGCCTGGTGCAGAAATGACTGGCACGAGGCGCCTGGGCCTTTGCTGTGTTGTGCCTTGAGTTATGTTAGCAGCTGCTAGTCCAAAGCTTTCAGTTTGCAGTACTTTCACAGACCAGAGGTGAGAGCATGAAGACAGAGCATTGTATTTCAAGAGCCAACAAAAAGTTGTTTTGTAATTTTGACACATTAAGGCTTCCTTTTAAAATAGTGTATCTTATTTCATTCCTTTTATACTTTGGTTTTTCTTCAGATCACATAAATCTTCCCCCTAATTTCACCCCTTTTAAGTTTT